AGATGCCAGGAACATTCATCCCTTCATAGACATAAAGGCACACTCCTCCATATGCCCACTGAGTGGAGTCTGAGTCACCAGAGCTCCTGAAATGGGACTTGAACTTTCCATACTCTATTACGTGGTAACACAGGAATGTTAGTTTAAAAGAATGTCTTTCACTTCTCTCCAACTCCTCTCCTGCGTCTCCTAGAGCAGCTGCTTTTCAAACTTCAGGTGTTCGGGCTACTTTGTGAATGGGGGAGAGAGTCTCAGTCAGTCACATGGGTGATGTTATCCTTGGGAATTGTTCCCCCAGCCCCATGGTTTTCAGGTGTATTAATGCAGTCAAGACATCATAATCCATAGTACATATATTTAATGGGGTTACTCTTCTGTTATCAGAGCATCTTCAGCCTATGATTTGCTTTTTCCTCACCCTTGTAACCACTCATATTCAGCACTCTCATTTGAGGGATGCTCTTGAACTAAAACCCCAACATCTCCTGCACTGGGAAAGAACATATCTGAACTACTGGATATAAATTCTTGGCTTTTGTAAAACAAAGCTGTGCCAATTTATGCCTGCAGAGAATTTGGTCTTTCATTTCTTGCATCACAGCAGCCACATTACCTATATGACTGTTTTACATTAGGGGATAAGAGCTGTCTTTACAGCAGTTTCCAATCCTTGTGTATGAATTTGCCAGGGAAGACACAGGATGATCCACTCCCTGGAATCCTAATTTGTTCCTCTACTTCATTCACTCCCCCAACATAAGAACATAACATAAAAACATAAGAATGTCTGTACTGGGTCAGACCAAAGGTCCATCTAGCCCAGTAGCCTGTCTGCCAACAGTGGCCAGCACCAGGTGCCCCAGAGAGGGTGGACTGAAGACAATGATCAAGTGATTTGTCTCCTGCCATCCTTCTCCAGCCTCTGACAAACAGAGGCCAGGGACACCATTTCTATCCCCTAGTTAATAGCCTTTTATAGACCTAACCTCCATGAAATTATCTAGCTTCTCTTTAAACTCTGTTATAGTCCTAGCCTTCACAGCCTCCTCTGGCAAGGAGTTCCACAGGTTGACTACACGCTGTGTGAAGAACTTTCTTTTATTAGTTTTAAACCTGCTACCCATGAACTTCATTTGGTGTCCTCTAGTTGAACATGAGCCCCATGAGGGCCACAAATGCAGATTAACTCCCTCTCCCCGCGTGCCCACACTCATAATAGTATCACAAAAGAACAACCCTCCCCCCATAGAAACAGGTTGATGAGATGCATCCAGGTTCCTCTACAAGCACAGTAAGTTGGTCTCGTATGCTCCACCTGACTCAATTGATCCTAACATGATCACAGGACAACTAGGGAGAAACCAAATTTGATGCCTATATTTACTAGGGGAAATTCCTTTGACAACAGCAGGCTTGTAACCGGTTACATCAGAACATATAACCTCAAATCACAATGGTTTGGCATCTGATTCCATTTATATTTCTTTGAAGAGGTCTCTTTTTCCTGAAATATTGATTAAAATTCGAAGAGCAACATTTCTTTTCTCCAGGGGTCCTTGATTCTCTTTAGTCTACCACGGCTAATTGGCTATTTATAGCAGAACCACAACCACATTTTTATTGACCATTAATAAATAAAAATGTGTTAGCAGCAGCAGATGCTAGCAATCATTTTGAGCCAGGAAAAGAACAAAACAAAACACAAAAGAAAAACAAGAAAAGGGCAAAATCAATATTTTAAAAAATCAAAAGAAATGGTAGAAAAGAAACACAAGACCTTGAACTTCATAAGGAGAGAAATCATCAGTTAATGAAGGCATCAACAGACCTCCCCAAAGTTTCTAATGTGGCTCAATCCTTTTGGACATCTTTTGTGCATGTGAAAGCAAAGCTTGGGGGAAAAAACCCCAAAAACCAACAACTTATAGCTATGATTTATTTTTTCCATGCTTGAAAAAAGCTGATGAAAATGTTTAAGTTGTCAGGACTAAATGACAATCTTAATGCTAAAAAAGATTTGGTGCATTGGTCTGATAAACCAATGTAACTGCTGTGTAAAATGTTTTAACATATTTTGTTGTGGAAAAAGAAGCTTATGCCAACCACAGGCAATGTCCCGTGTTGTCAGGGTAGCTCTGCTACTGCAAAGAATTTGGTAGTAGAAGGGAATGGGCTAGTACTCATGAGCTAAGCAGGGTTGATGCTTGGATTAGAGAACCCAACTGTGATGGGGCATACAAAACCCACAGTGATCATGACAGGGCTAAAAGGCAATAGGTGACTCAGGTAGCCTCCTGAGCAGGTTCTGAGTGGAAGAGTGGGATAAAAGGTGCTGAGAAGCTCAGGCTTACAAGAGTGGGCAGGTTGGAGAAGAGAGAAATCCATCAAGTCAGATAGCAGGCTCAGCCCTCAGAGGGGACCACAGAATGGGTAAGACCTACAGGCAGTACCTTCTCTAACCACTCCCCCTTTTGAGAACTGGCAGGTCCTTACACCTTTTGCTTCTAAGTATTAAAGCAGGGGAAGGGGGACCATGCCCTAAACGGAAGTGTTCTATTAGTTGGAAGTAGTCAGAGCAGCAGTCAGACTCACTGCACAGAGGATCCTTTCGGGGTTGGTTCCCACATTGACCTACGCTGGGAAGGCCTCATTCCCCTTACCACACGCCCCTTTTAGGGGCAAGGCCCAGCAACAGGTAAAAAGGCAAAAGATATAAAACACATATAGATGATCCATTTATTGGACTGGGTAAGTAACGTAACTTCCTGCTAGAAATTATGTGACAGTCAGTGGTAAAAAGAATTCTACTAATTGTCACCATTTATTGTTTTTAATGCAATATTAAAATACAATAAAAATCCCACCATATTTTTAAAGCTCTACTTGAAGGTTTTTAGACAAAAGGGAGATTTTTTGAAATCTGTAAATGAAAACATTTTAAGAGCATTTTAATTTTAATGAAATATTTCAGGAAAGGGCCTGGAAGACTCAGGAGATTGGTAAAGTGAACAGAACTTTTTACTAGTCTAGATTGCCAGTTAAAAACTACTTCAGGAAAGCAGGAATCTAACAACGTTACCATGAAAAGCTCTTTGCTGTGAACCAGATGGGGCATGTGAACACTGCAGCAGCAAGTGAACCCCCAAGCAGGATAGATGGATTCATGCTAGCATGCTAAAAATAGTGTGGATGTTGCAATTTGGATGGCAGTTCAGGTTCTCAAGCCTACCCAACCAGTAGGTGTGAGCCCAGGTTTTTGCTGGATTTATAACGTCCATACACTGCTATTTTTAGGACCCCAGCTTGAGTTTAGCCAATGTGAGTCTGCCTACCTATACTGGGAGGCTTACTAACAAATTTCATCTTACATGGTAAAAACTCTTGTGGTCATGTCAGTAGTTAGCCTACAAAGATCTATATTGGTGCTCCTAGTTCAGATGCCAATTATACATGGCATAAAACTTACAACACTATTGATTTCACTAGCAAACATGCTAGCAGTAAAGAGTGTGGAATTCTTCATCATCTGCCATGTTACCTCTAGGCTATATCTTAAGTAGTAGCACTTTTCCAGTTCCGGAATACAGTATACTATACTGGCAAAGCACTCCTAGCGTGCACAGAGCTTATATAGGCAAAACTGCACTTTTACCAGCATATCTTAGTGTAGTTCCCCCAAAGTGAAATGAGCTATATTGGAAATGTGCAGTTCTGCCAATTTTGTGCAGCTTCACTAGGTACTTCTGGGAGCATAGCTATGATGGTCAGGGATCATACCTCATCAAACCCTGACTGACATAGTTATGCCAACAAAAGTTTGTAGCATATACCTGGCCCTAGAGCTGGTCTCTCCACATCAGGATTGAGGTATGTTTAAAAGGCAGTGAAGGAAGGAGAAGCTTCTCTAGTCTGCTGTCCTTCAGTTTACATGTTCTGTGGATAAGTAGAAGTAGTCAGTCTCCAGCACCTTTCATTAGCACTGAATTCACTTTAAAAGGCTGAGAAGAGTGAATGTGTTGTAAATACAATGCACAAGGTCACAGATTTATCCAGGATTTCCCTCACTATTGTAACTATCAAAACAAAACAAAACATGTATCACAGAGCCCATTAGATAGATGAATAACACAACTATCTGTGAACTATTCATCAATGTAGAGATTTAAGATGAACTCAAGTACAGGGATGTTAGCCATTGGGTAACTGAATAGCTGTGTAACCAGAAGAATTCTTATTAGTTACACAACAATTCGATAGTCCCTGGGGGTGGGGCCAGTAGCCAGTGCACTTCAGCCCCACTCCCAGAGAGCCCCCTATCATCCCAGGTGGAGCTCAGCCCCTCCACAGACAGAGACTGCTTTGCAGCAGCCTTCCCTGCCCCACCCTGCCACTGCTGCCTCTGAAAGGAGCAGGAGGGGTGGGGGATGGGAGCATGGCGGACCTAGTGTGGGGTAAGCTGTTCAGACAGAGACTGCTTTGCAGCAGCCTTCCCTGCCCCACCCTGCCACTGCTGCCTCTGAAAGGAGCAGGAGGGGTGGGGGATGGGAGCATGGCGGACCTAGTGTGGGGTAAGCTGTCTTTAAGATGGCTCCCCCCAGCACTGGCACCTCCTTCTCCCCACCCCCAACTTGCTGCTTCTGATACAGAGGCAGCAAGGGGTGGGAGAAATACGTGTAGTCAAGAAGATTAACCGATAAGCCTAGACTTATCTGTTAATGGTATAGTCGACTACATGTTGACATCCCTACTCAAGTAACTGATTATCTCCAATAGTGTCATTTTAGGCTATGTCTACACGGTGAGCTAGGGGTGTAGTGAAGAGACACTTGGAATCTGGATAATCAGTTCTAGGTAGACATCCAGATTTGTTCTACAAGGCTGCTATTTTTACCTATTAACCTTCATATGTTGAAATCTCCTGCCATCTGAGAAGCAATATCTGGCCCCCATTTTCCAGTAGGGAGGCATATGGATGTAAATGGGGATCAGTATTTACTCACTGCACATATCTCCTTCATCTTCTCCCTCTGCGCAGTCCCTGATGAAATCACATGCCTGTCCCAGTTTGATTACTGTTCCATTCCAACAGTTGTAGGAACCCTGTAGGGCCATTTTGGAGCCAGAAGATCCTAGAGAGAAGGAAAATAAGTCAATTTAGACTGTTGCATTACTGTCCTTCCTACATCCCTGGCTGCAGTGTATCCTGGGATCCCAATCACATGGTCATAGAATCATGGATGTTAGAGCTGTGGAAGACCTAATAAATTATCCACTCTATCACTCTGAAAATACAGGACCGGTTCTAGCAGTGTGTATCATGACAGAGGATTAGCAGTTCTGCCATTTCTTATTTCTCAGGATTGGTTCATCATGTTTGAGCAGCTTCTTTTAATGACCAACATCCCATGTTAAGCATAGTTCTCAAATCATTTTCATAGTTTTTTTTGGGGGGGGAGGGGGCTGATATTTTAGAAAAGGAGTTGTAATTGAATTCATATAGTCTGTGTAACTATACTTCTGAAGAATGTGGCATGTTAAACAATAGACAAAATAGATTTTAATTATATGCAGTTTTTCTGCTAACCTGACAGCCCTGAAGACTGAGGAGCTCAGGAAACAGTGCAAGCTTCTTCTACCGCAGGGGTGGGCAAGATACAGTCCATGGGTCAGATCTGGCCCACCAAGCCATTTGATCCAGCCCACAGTCTGCCCTGCTGAGACCCTGAGGCTGTTCAAAATGGCTGTTGTCTTTCCTCTGGCAGGAGCGTGCAGCACCTGAAGGGAGCTACCAGCAGTTTTGAACAGCGAGGCTCCCCAGTAGGGGGAGTGAGACACATTGCATGCTCTCCCACCCCCAAGCTCCAACTGTTCAAAATGGCTAGCAGTTCCCTCTAGGTACGGCGTGACCCTGTGCAGGGCAACAGTGATCACATGCTCCCCCACCTCCAGGCCCTGCTCTCAGCTGTGATGATTGGCCTGGGCAGGGAAGTGTGCAGCTCTCTTGCCCCTCAGAGTTGAACAGCCCTAAGCCACACATGGAAGGAACCTCCTTGAGCAGCCTGTGGCTGCTGCAGGAGGGAGCGTATCTTGGGGACCCTGTTGGACTGCTGGCTGGGAGCCACCTAAGGTAAGTGACTCTTTGCCAGAGCCTGCCTCTGGAACCCCAGCCACTTCCACTTCCCAACTCCCTGCCCTAGGTCACCACCCAAATCCCCTGTACACACATCTACCCCCAGGTCACAATTCCCTCCTAACCCCTATGCCCCTGCTACACCCCTCCCCGCAAGTCAACATTCACTCCTGAATCTCTACGCCCTCTCAGATCCTACACCCCAAACTCCTGTCCCAGGTCATAACCCCTTACTTCACCCAAACTCCCTGTCAGACCCCACACCCTCTCCTGTACCCTAATCCCCTACCTCAAGCTCTCTTTTGCATCCAATCTCTGTCCCAAACCCCAAGCCCCCTCCATAGAGAAGTGCAGCCCTTGACCGCTTTCCAAAATTTTGGAAAGACCCCCTATCAAAAATTATTGCCCACCCCTGTTCTATACCTATGACATGGAGGCATCATGTCTCTAGGAGTTAGAAGATAACTTTGTGTCAGTTGTCCTGTTCAGTCCTTGCCTCCCTCTCGCTCTCCTTCCCCTGAAAAGCAGAGAGGACCAACTGGCATGTAAACCACTATTTACTGAGATGTGAAAATCATCAGCTCATTTCATGAGAGCCAAGTGGTCTTTAGACAGTAATTGCTTTTAGCTAGTGCTGAGCTGCAAGGTTTTATAGCCTAATGATAATTCCTCTTCCAACATCCAGACAACGTATGTTTTGATATATGGGGCAACTTGGCCACAATAAAAGTAGAACTGACAATTATGTTAGGACTGGAGGTTGTATATTAATGTACATTCCTTGTTTAAAACTTTAGGTACCATATACACTACATCCTGGTCAACAAGTGTTTCAAATTATTCTAAAGAAACATATATCAATCTTCTAGCCTGCTCTAAGTACCCGTAGTAGTTATAACACCTTGTAAGCAGAAGGGCCCAGAGAGAAGGCCAGACTAAGAGTCATATTTTGCTCTCGTTTAAGCGAGAAGTACTTCCCAAATATTACTAGTAAATCTAGAGCTTTACCAGCAGTTAAACTCTAACTTCCATGGAGATAATCCTGATTTACTCAGGTGGGCCAGAGCAGAACTTAGCCTGCTGTCTATTGGATTCACTTCATTCATGGCTGCAAAGCAGGAACATAGCACGGACAGACCTGGGTACACCAGTTTAGGAGTCAGAAGACCAGGTTTCCACTCCTGGCTCTATCACCAATTTGCTTTGTGACCTTAAGCAAGTCATTTCCCATCTCTGTGTTTCAGTTTTACCATATGTAAAATGAGGAGATACTGACCTCCTTTGTAAAGTGCTTTGAGATCTAGAGATGAAATGAGAAAGACCAAGGTACAAAATGAGTTACAGCTAGCAAGGGACATAATAGGCAATAAAAGTACATTTGTTAAATACATTAGGAGGAAGAGAAAAATGAAGGCAACTTTAGAACCTCTACTTAGTGGGAAAGGAGAACTAATAAATGATGATGAATCAAGAAGGCTGATATGGCCAAGACTTACTGTGCTTCAGTCCTCACTAAAAAGATTACCAGAAACAACACAATATTAATGACAAAGAGGAACGGACAAAAGCCAAAATAGGGAAGAATAGGCTAAAGAATATTTAGGTAAGTTAAATGTGTTCAAGTCAGTAAAACTTGATGACTTGGGTACTTAAGGAACTAGCTGAAAGGATCTCAGAACTGCTGGCAATTATCTCTGAGAACTCATGGAGCATGGTGAGGACTAGGAAATGACAAACCACCTGTTAAAAACAGGAGTAAAGAAGGCCTGGGGAATTACAGAACAATCAGCCTAGCTTTGGTATGTGGGAAAACACTGGATTAAATTGTTAAACAATATATTTGTAAGCATGTACAGGATAATAGGGCTATAAGGAATAGCCAGCACAGATTTGTCAAGAACAAACCCAATTTCCTTACTGGCCTAATGATAGATCTGATATCTTGATTTTAGTAAAGCTTTTGACACAGTCCCACATAACATTCTCATGAGCCACTTAGGGAAACATGGTCTAGATAGAATTATTGTAGGATGGATTCAGATAGGTCAGATATTAATCATAAGGATACTTAAATTCTGGAACAGGCTTCCAAGAGAGGCTGTGGATCGTGGAGGCTTAAGAACAGGTTGGACAAATGCCTTTCACCAGGCCTGCAGAGAGGGGGAACAAAGGAAGCAATTGTTCTGGGGCCAGCGATTCAAAGCACCAGTGGTACCTGGAGCTGCAAGCCCTTTAAATTGCCACTGGAGCATGGTGCAGTGTGATCCATGAGGCTCTCAGGATTGCCTGGGGAGGCAGGGGTGCTATATGGTGTGCTCCGGGGTGTGTGGGGTCTGGGCAGCACTTAGAGCCAGCAGCCGTTGGCCCCACATCTTCCATCTGAGGCCTTGCACAGGGCTGGAAACAGCAGCTGAAGTGGGGGGCTGTTGGCTCCCATCCAGCGCAGGCAAGGAGTGAGCAGTCTTGTGCAGGGCCGGAGTGGCACCCTTCCCCTCTCCAGCTGCCGCTTCCGGCTTGCACCAGTCTGCCCGGCGTTGGGCTGAAACCAGCTAGGCTAGTGTGGGGGCTTGGTAAATGGTTATCGAGGAAGCATCACCCTTTAAGGATGATCATTACTGGGTAACGGATTAATTGGTTACCTGTACATATCCCTACTCTACAGTGTTTGATCTGCATAGTGAAACATGGAACCCACTTTCAACTTCAAATATCAGTAGCTCAAAACATACCCATGCTTCCTCCAGTACTTTTTTTAACAAGGAATTCAAAGAACTTTCCCAAAATTACTTATTACTATTTATATTTTACAGATGGGGAAATTGAGACAAAGAGAAGTGAATAACTTCATCGTGACAGTTCAATATAGTGAATCAACAGTAGAGTCAGAAGCAGAATGCAGGTTTCCCGATCCATCTATGCAGAGGAAGGACTATGGCTGCTTTACTGTCTGCACCACTCTAGGATCATACATCAAATCAGGTCTCTTACTAGCTATCTTCTTACTGTGACAGTCTGAAGTACTACAAGCATAATCTTATGCAAAAGAATGGTCACAAGAGTGAAATGCCTGCAAGCTGCATTTTAATATACAGTAAGTGAGGCTCAAACTAAATGTATACTCCAAATTGATTAAAAAAAAAGCAAAAGGAACCAAAAATGTCACCATGATTAAAGTAGATTAAAAAGAGGTAGTAAGAGGCAAAAGGCATCTTTGAAAAATTAGAAGTCAAAAGCAAGAAGTGGAATCCCACTGAGGAAAAGAAAAAGGAGCATAAATACCAGAAAATTAAGTGTAAAAATATAATTAGGTAGGCCAAAAGAGAATTTGAACAACAACTAGCAACAGATACAAAAACTAACAAAATAGATTAGCAGAAGGGCTGCCGAATGATCGGCAGAGTCATTGAAAGAACAAAACCAGTGCAGTTCAACATAGTCACATGATCTGAAAAAAAGTGGAAAAGTTTACAGATTATACAAAATTATTCACGATAATTATGTCCAAAGCTGACTTTCAAGAGTTAAAGGGATCTTGCAAAACTGAATGATGAGACAAGAAAATGGCAGATGACATTTGTTGTTAATAAATGCAAAATAGCACACACTAGAAAAAATAATCCTGACTATACAGGTAAAATCACAAGGTCTAAATTAGCCTTTACTACTCAAGAAAGATCTCGGCGTCATTGTGGATATTTCTCTAAAAACATCTTTTAAAATGCACAGCTGCAATCAGAATAGCTAACAGAATGTTAGCAACCATTAAGAAGTGGCTAGATAAGCAGAAAATATCATAATGACACCATATAAATCCATAGTAGGTTCACACCTTAAATACTGCATGTAGTTCAGGTTGTCCTATCTCAAAAATGTTAGAATTGGAAAAAAGTACAGAGAAGGGCAACAAAAATAATTAGAGAATGAGGAGGGATTAAAAAGACTCGGCTTTCTCAGCATAGAAATGGCATGACTAAAAGGTTGATAGGATAGAGGTCTATAAATTCATGAATGGTTTAGAATAGGGAAGTGTTATCTATCCATTACATAACACAAGAACCTGGCATCATCCAATGAAATTAACAGACAGCAGGTTTACAAACAAAAGTAAGTACTTCTTCACACAACACCCAGTTTAACCTGTGGAACTCATTGCCAAGGGATGTTGTGAAGACCAAAAGTGAAAGAGGGTTAAAAAAAGAATTAGCTAAGCTCATGTGGGATAAGTCCATCAATGGCTATTAAGCAAGATGGTCAGGTACGCAGTCCCATGCTCTGGGTATTGCTAAACCTCTGACTGCCAGAAACTCAGACTGGACAATAGGGGATGAATCATTCCATAATTACCCTGTTCTGTTCATTCCCGCTGAAGCACCTATCATTGCTTACTGTCAGAAGACAGGTTACTAGTTTAGATGCACCACTGGTCTGACACAGTATATACTCATGGTAGCAGGGAGTGACACAAAGGGTCACGTGCCCCTCCAAATGCCATGGGGGGGGCAGGAGCAAGGGGCCAGAAGCTGGCAGACAGAGCCTGATTCATCAACTGCCATGGGCCCTACACTTTGGGGGGGCCCAGGCTCCAGGGAACTAAAGGGGGGTCTGGTGTCAAAAGCAGGGTTCAGCCCCTCCCCACACTCACTGGCAGGAGGAAGTGGGACAACCCAACCCCAGCCCATTCTGCTCCCCTGACTCCCAGCTGTGTCAATTTTTGAGTGGATTTAAGAGAGAGACTTTCTGGGATGGGGTGGGGTGAGGGGGAAAGCTGGAGTGTCTCATCTCTGGGCACAGTCTCTTGTTGGAGGCCCCTTGGATCTCATTGGGTACGTCTAAACTACATGGCTCCGTCGACGGAGCCATATAGATTTGTTGTTTTGGCAAAGTCAAATGAAGCCGCGATTGAAATGATTGCGGCTTCATTTAAATTTACATAGCTGCTGCGCTGAGCCGACAAACAGCTGATCAGCTGTTTGTCGGCTCAGCGCAGCAGCTATGTAAATTTAAATGAAGCGGCGATTATTTAAATCGCTGCTTCATTTTCCTATGCCAGGCAGTCTAATCTACATGCCTCTGTCACCAGAGGCATGTAGTCTAGATGTACCCTTAGGGCTTGGCTATAGACAGTGGGTCATATGATGTGCCCTTGATGGAAGCTAGGGGCATGTAGGTTTCTGGTATAGGGTGATATTTATGTGACTATCATTTATTTGTACTGTCCAGGAAGTGGATCTCTTGTGTGTACTGTTCCAGGCTAAGATTGATAGATGGGTGGAAATTGTAAGCCGCGATCATTTAAATCGCGGCTTCATTTGACTTTGCCTATGTGTCTAATCTACATGCCTCTGACGACAGAGGCATGTAGTCTAGACACAGCCATTGACAGCTGAGTGACTAAGTTATGCAACATAATTTTGCTTACTCTAAATCAGAGGTGGGCAATAATTTTTGACTGGGGGGCTTCAGGCGGAAGAGGTGGGGGCCAGGACACTTCCATGCTTCCCTGCCCACAGACCCTGATTGGTCTGGGGGTGGGGGAGTGGGTGAAGTCTTTGCCTTCCCACAGAGAGAACCACCAGCTATTCTGAACAGCTGTCAGTTCCCTCTAGGTGCCCCTGCCCTGACAGTGGGAGGAGACTTCAAACGCTCCCCTTTGCCCCCCTGGCCAATTAGAGCATGGGGGTGAGGGAAGCATGCAAAGTCTTCTCCCGCCCTGCCCCCTCCCTGCAGGATGAGAGTAGGGGAGGAGGAAACTTTGCACACTCCCTTCGCCCCCAAGCCCTGATAGGCCTGGGGAGCGGCAGGGCCTCTGCAGGCAGGATCTACCAGCTTGGCGGGCGAGATCCAGCCCACAGAGGCCCTTTTGCCCACCCCTGCCCTAATTCCTCTGGGCACCTAACCTCTTGGACTCTGCCTTAGATCAAGTCTGCATGTTTTTCTAGCAAATACATTTTTGTTCAACCATAGCTACTGGGCCTGATGCAATAATCAATTCAAGGAAGTCCTATGACCAGTACTATGCAGGAGGTCAAACTGCATGATCACAATGCTCCCTTCTGGTCTTAAAATACATAAATCTATCCACTTTCATAGATTCATACAAGAATGCACCTGCTCTCTGTCTGTCTGCTTCCTATTTACAACCAGGAATCTGTAGTACCACACATCATGTGCATACTTTTCAAGAATGTCACATCCAAAACAGGCCATTGTTGCAAGTTCCCTATTACAACTCCTACACAATTGTATATAATAAAGGGGAAAATCAGAGACTGAGCACAAGCCCATTGGTAGAATGACCCATTTTCTTTGCCTGACTCATCCATGCTTGCTATGCAGCAAAGCTACATCATGTTTCTTGATACTGTGGGGAGTTGAGAGTCACTGATGATTCAGTTAGATGTGCGCTTGATACTTTTATTTATATTGCCTGCCAAAACTAAAAATTAATGAAGCATATAGGAAAACAACCACTATTTCTTGTCAAGCTCATTTTATGGTCCAAATAAATCCAAAAGGGGAAAACAAACAAACGTGCCAAACCTTTTCAATAAAGGGTTCCAGCTGCTAAACAGGGTGTTCTGAGTTATTGACAGTCCATAGTTTTTGATTGCCTTACAACAATTCTGGCTTGCAGCATGCAAGGTACACACTGCACTTGTATGTCTGTCAGGGTCAAGACTTTCCGTACAGACCAGAACTGTTTGTACGGAAACAGGACAAACAGGAAACAAGCCTGGAACTGAACAACCCTGCAGGCCTCTCAGCGAAGACTCTATAGATTTTTACAGCACATGTGCCTTTCTGCAACATGCTATCCTCTGCAGAACCTACAGTTTGCAAGTTCCTACCATCACAGATTGGACAGAGACCTTTCCCATGTCTGAACCAAATCCAATTAGATTTCACAGGCCAAGAGTTGGACTAGGTCAATATGTCAATCTCTTAGGGAAAACTAGGGTGTTGCAGGAAGTGACTTTGGTGACTCAATGCCCGAGAATATTGTTATGAAGTACTGTTGCTACCTAACACGTAAGATGAAATACTAAGGCTCTCTGCACGTACAGAAGCATTAACATTATCTGCTTGTTTATCTCTGTTGACATCAGATTTGCATTATGCACCGGTACATGGGCTTGCAGCATAGGTCACAGAACACAAATAGCATGGCCAGAGCACAAGCGGGGAGAGTGATTAGGCTCAATTCGGTGTCACTGCGTAAATTATTCCCTTCTTCTGTTTGCATATTCTGTGTCTACAAACACACGGGGGTGATTGGACAAAGGAGAAGTTTAGGTAGCTAGAAAAATCTGTACTAAAAAGCCTTGCCCAAAATTATACCTTAAGTGGTCTTTTTGTTTTTGTTTCTTTAAATGCAGGCATGTTTATTTATATTAAGAGGAGTTAACTAGTTTTTAATTAGACTGTCTATTTGATATAAAAAAACCACATTAATTTGGCTTTTCAATTTTCCAGCCACAGTCACCTCATCCCAGAAAAGCCTCAGAGACAAGGATTGCTGACTCTTGCACAGACCCCAACTAATATACAAAAGATGACAGGGAAGAAAAATGCATGATATCAAATAGGCATGAAAGTAAAATTTGTGGGAGACATCATTTATATTTACAGCAATGTTTGTGTTGCTCTTGGTATCCATAAATTACACTAGTCATTAAACTGTACCAGGGTTGGCTTGGTAAATTATTATATAAACAGCAACATTAAAAAATGGCACATTTCAAGGAAAGGAGACACAAACAGTGGTTTGGGAGCCCTGCTCATGGAACAGGAGCTTGCAATTATTCACTGCTCAGTCACCCTTGCCAGCTTGTTCGTGCGAGTAAAAGGGAGATGCTGAAAAGTATATAGGCATTTATGAAGATGCCCTGGAATTTACAGATGTACCATGCTGCTGCAGGGTAATCCAAATGCAGCAGAGTCATATGTATATGGATGTAGTACTCACAAAACACTTGAACCATCAGTTCCCACATCTGCTTTTTGGACTAGTACATCGACATGCGTCAGGGAAAGGATTAAATGCAGAAGAGTCTGGATGAGTGCACAGAGCAAGAACCCAAAGTAAAGGAATATGCTGCTGAATTTTTATGGATGAGCAAATGCTTTCTAAACTACTCTTCAGTGGGGGCCCCATCCTATCCATTTAAGGCAGTAGGGACATAAAAATGGGAGCAGGAAGGTACCCAGTACTTGTTACTGCTTCCATTCTAAGAAGCAGGAGCACAGTTCTATATAAACCAATCCCATTGTGCATCAATGTATGCTGGGTAAATTTTTTAATTTTACTTGCACGTAAGTGGCTTCTGGAAAAGCCTATGAC